AAAAAAAAGACAATAAAAACAAAATATAACCAACAACAATATAATATTTATTATAAAAGCTTTTAAACCTTGAAAACACATAAGGTACATAAGAAAAAAATGTAGACAAATTCGTGTGTTGTTAGATTATCTTCATTTAAAAATCTATGTATATTTATATTATCTAGGAAGAGAAAAGATAGAAATTTTTTAGAATGTACTTTTTTTTTTCGTTCTTTTTCTTTCTTATGAATGAATATTAAGAATCAATACAGCTTCGTACTCTGCTTTCATTTCGTCCATACAAAAACAAACTAAAAGGCAACATGGCTAAACGTTCCAAATACGAAAGCGATACAAATAATTCAAATGAAGGTATGCTATTCTTATAAACATTATCCTTACTAAATTGAAATAAATTAATTGAATTTATTTTTTTGTATATTATTATTCTTAGACTATGAAATGTCTGTTGATGATAAAATTCTGTCATCAGATTTAAATAATCTTATTCAAGCAACTACAATTTCTAATACAAATGTATATCATATGAGCATATGTGGATCTATTATTCATCCAATGCCAACAAATTCTCCTTCAGATATCTTCTCATTCCTTCGTCACAGCAATTTTACTGCACTTCGACGTTCACTTGATGTCTATCACAATGATATTATTCAGATGAGAAATGATCACGGACAAGTATATTATTTTTGTTCGTCAAAAAAAAATAATTCTTTTTATTTCTATCTATATTTTAGACAGTACTTCATGTACTAGTAATACATGCTTATCAGTATGTATGGGTACGTTTATTGATGTTACGTGAATGTGATCCATGTGCTCAAGATATAGATGGTTATACAGCAGCTCATTATGCTGTCGAACGTGATGATGTTGAAATGCTAAAAGCATTAACACTTCGATTTCAAACACAAGCAAAACCGATATCGGAAGAAAAAATAACAACAATACATAATAAATGTTGTAAAGCATTATCTCTAAAAGAAAAAAATGGTTTAACTACATTTATGTTAGCATGTCAACATGAATCTTTAAAATGTCTAGATTATTTAATTGAACTTAATATTAATGATAGTAATTTAGAAGTAAATTATATTTCTTTATATTTAAAATTTATAATATTTAGTTTTTTTTATTGTTTAGGATAAATTTGGAGATACTTGTTTACATTATGCTGTAGGACGTCGTAATAAAAATCTTGTTGAAAAACTACTCGATACATGTAAAGCCGATGCAAATGGAGGTCAACAATTACGTCCAAGTGTACTTGATATCCTACAGTATAACCGTGCACAACAAAAACCATTCGAGCGTACTAAAGATGATGATATTGAAAGATTACTTTTATCCTATGGTGCAAAAAATCGTTATTCTATTCGACGTATTGCTAGTAAACGAAAAGGATCTAATGATAATAATGAATCTATTACTTCAAACTTAGCTTGTCTTTCAATTGATTTAAAAACAAATGCACAAATTGAAACAGCACGTAGTTATGCACGATTAGGTTCATCATTCGAAGCTAAAGGTGATTTAAAGGCTGCTCAAGAAAATTTTCAACATGCAATGATGTACACACCAGATAATACACTTGAATGGGCAACTTATGCATTACGTTCTGCTCTTATACATATGACTTATGGTGAAAAACAATCAGCACTTGAATTATTACAACCAGCACTTTATATTAGCAAACAACATGAAGAAGATAGTCAAGATATTGGTCAAATTCAACAAGCTATTGATCAGATTCAACGACAAACATGTTAAATGCTTTGAATTAACTGATATATATATATACATATGAATGTATCAGACTTTTATGTGTATAAATGATCATATCGTTAGTACATAATCATGAACAAAACATTTGTACATCTGTATAGTGTTTTATTGTTATTTTCTTCTTTCTTTTTCTTTTATAGAAAAGTAATCATTATTTATTAAATTGATGATAGAGATTTATATTTTGTCTGTACATATAATTAAATATTAAGATAAATTAACAGATCAATATTTTTAACTAACGAAGTTGAAGATTTTTATTATATATTCATATTAATAAACTATAAAAATTTAATTTTTATAAAACATCAATTTTAAATAAATAATAAATGACTATATCAAAAATATTACAATTTTTTTTTTTTGTAAAATGATTATTGTATTAAATCAATATAACATAGAAATAAAAATAGCAAATTTCTATATATATATAAAATAATTTTGTTATTAGAATATGGTAATAGTTGACATAGCATATTTGAAGGATACCTAAGTGATCACATGTGTGAAAAATAAAAACACGATTCAATAGAAAGAAAATGATCGACCTAGTTAATAAAGTATTTATATGCGTATATATATATTACAGTAAATATCTTGATTTATTTGGTTTGACAAAAAACTGCCATACTATAAATGGCATAACAAAATTTTTGATTATTTGTTTAGTATGACATGAATAAAGATAAGAAAACTTGAATGATATTAAGAAGTTCTAAGAATAGTTAGATTTATCTTTTAAATTATTATTTTAAAATTATGAAAATTTTCTTATTAAAATTAACAGTTCGATCAGTTAATCGAAGGAAAAGTTATTTATTGACAAAAGTAAATGGATAAAAGTACATGGTGTATTTGCTTGGTCATTTACAGCTGATAAATATTCTCATCATTCATTATCATTTTAGTTTTAATACGATGACATTTGCTGAAAATATTTTGAAGTCTCATAAACACAAGAAAACACGATGCTTCTTAAACTTGTTTTTCTTTTGGCAGTTTGTGGACACAATGTTTTTGCTATTGACTATCCCGAAGGTATATACATATGCATGAGTATAAAATTCATTATTATCTATTTAGATGCTTGTGGTCTTCGTCCTTTAATTGATCCTCCAGGAAATTCATCATCGAGAATTGTTGGCGGTTTTGAATCGGTACGAGGTGATTGGTAAGATATAATAGTTATAGTTTCTAAACTATTCATACTTTTCTTATTTTTCTTTTCAAAGGCCATGGGCAGTAAGTTTCATCAAAAATGACAAATTTTCTTTGTATTGAATTTTAAATTACAGATATCTATGCAACGTCAAGGAAGTCATATTTGTGGTGGATCACTTATAAATAATCAATGGATTGTTACAGCAGCTCATTGTCTTGCTGGGTAAGAGAAAAGAATATTTTTGATTTGATTTATTTTCAATTGTTTTTTTTTTTTCTATATAGAAATACAAATCCACTTATTTACACTATTGTTTTTGGTGCTCATGATCGACTAATTTCTGATCCATGGGTTATTAAAAGATCAGTTTCAAACATTATCATCCACCCAAATTATAACTCACAAAATTTTGCAAATGATATCGCTCTTATGAAATTATCCGTAAAAACATTTTTTCTACTAAATTAAAATTAAAATTTCTTTTCTAGGCTATAGTTAAACCATATACACAACATTATATGCCTATTTGTTTTCCAGGTGATAATCAAGTATTTGAAAATCAAACTGGACATACCGTTGGTTGGGGTGCATCATATTATGGTAAAAAATGATTAAAATCGTATTGAAAATCTTATTAATTTTATAAATTTTAGGTGGTAGTATATTACGATACAAAAGTGAAGTAGCTACACCTATATTAAGTGATACTGCATGCAGAGCACGTTATAACGCAGGTATGATCAATCCGGCCTATCAAATTTGTTCAGGTGGAAGTAATAAAGGAGCTTGTCAAGTAAAAGAAATTATTTATTTTGTTTTTCAATCTATTATTATATTATAGGGTGATTCTGGTGGTCCATTTATTGTTGCTGATCCTACACGAGGTGGGCGATATGTTCTTGCTGGTCTTACTTCATGGGGTATTGGATGTGGTCAAGGTGGTGTCTATACACGTCTTTCATATTATAGACCATGGATAGAATCACATGCCGGTTCTGTTTTGTCTTAAACATAAACTAAATTTATTATATATGTCTACATATATTAATAATCAATAAAACAAAAAAAGAGTTAAATAAAACTAAATTATCAACTCATTAAACCCATATGTTCGACATCCATTTGAGCTGTTTGATCCCCTTCAGCCGCTATTCTTTGACTATTGCCATCATTAACACCATGCGTTTTTGAACAACCAGCTCGTTTTGTATCTCGAGGTGTAAATGAAGATACTGGTTCTGTATGCATATTAACTAATCCTTGTATACGACCTAAATAAAATAATTATAAATATCCTAATAAGAAAATCTATCTTACGTGATATGACACAACCAACAATTATAGATATCCAAATAACAAATAATAATAAACAAATTAATAAAAATACTAAATAAACAAACGAGAATTAGATTTTCTTTTTAATTTTTATTCAAATTACTTGTTGATGCACCAATACGCGATTTACGCGGAGAAGGCGTACTTATTTCATAAGTTCCTATCGGTGGTAATAATCTAATATTGAATAGAAATATACTAGAGAATAAATTAATAAAAAAAATTCAAACAAACTTAAATAAATTTGGATAATCATTAGTTCGACATACAGAATCTTTTTCAGCAAAATATTTATACTGAATATTTTTGTATACATAAAAAATTAAAAATTTACAAATTGAATCATGATTTTCTTCACATTCTATAACTAAATTATCTCCAGATTTCAAGAATATAGCTGATGATATAATTTTCATATCAGTACTATCTTGGTTTAAATACATTGATGAATCAACAACAGGTTCTATTGATTGATCACGAAAAATACGATTGCGTATAACATAGATACGCCACCATCCTGTAATTGTTCTCGAAAATAATGGTTTTACTGCATATAATACGCGTGGATAATTTGATAAACGACATGAAAAACCTTTAAAAAAGATTTTGTGATATTCATATAAAATTTAGTTCTCTATACTTACGTATTCCATTATATTTATTACCAACAAGTAATGAACCCATAGAGAATCGTGGCCTGAATATAAAAAGAAGACAAGATTAGTTTCTCAGCAATATAGTAATTACATAAAATTCCTTGATAACATAGAGAGAACTATTTTTAAATGAGGTAGTTATCGAAAACAATGGAGATTTTAATTATTTCAAGTCTAATAAAAGAGTACCAAAAAGATCTATTAACTACAGACATGTTGCAATAGACATTCGGATATTCATCTGTATCTAAGCTTTCCTCTCGTTTATTTAGTAAATTACATAAGACATCA